TGTGTGTGTGTGTGTGTGTGTGTGTGTGTGTGTGTGTGTGTGTGTGTGTGTGTGTGTGTGTGTGTGTGTGTGTGTACGTTTTAGTCTTAACCATGTATAGACTCTGTCTAGACTGCAGACTGTGTATGGACTATGTATGCATTATACTATACCCATGAATAGACTGTGCATAGACTATGTACGTTTAGTCTTAACCATGTATAGACTCTGTCTAGACTGCAGACCGTGTATGGACAATGTATGCATTATACTCTACCCATGAATAGACTGTGCATAGACTATGTATAGATTATAGTTTACCGGTTCATCGAACAGGCTGCTGAGCAGCAACAGTGACATTGTACTCTACCCATGAATAGACTGTGCATAGATTATGTATAGAATAGTCTACCGGTTCATCAAACAGGCTGCTGAGCAGCAACGGTAGGGACGCAGCAATATGTTCTTTTTTTGTGACATTGTGTTTGTTTTGTTTCGCTTTGTGGCCAAACTGACATGACCTTCGTTAAAAATCTGTACAACATTTGATTTCGTGTCAAAATGTTACAAAAACTAGACTCAGTTTAAAATTTGATAGTCATCCCTATTTCCTAGTTTGCTGACCTGTAGACCTGCACGCCGACTTCGCTCAGAAATTTGCAGGAAGGGGGCAAGATGCTGTTACAGTAGTGTGTGATGTACTACCCCACACTGCAGCCACCCCATAGTCCGGGGAGTCAATTCTTAGTACAGAGTGAGATTCAAAGAACACCTCTGTACTCCATTCTCACGAGATGCGATATAACTCGCCTCGAATTGTACGTTTCGCTGCTTGATCTCTCCCACAACAGGTCGTGTAACCAATACCTTCTTCCCAGAATCATAGCACTCAACTGTTCCGAACCACCAGTACACCCGAGCATGGCGGACTTGCACTGCTCAGCAAGTTTTGCGGAACAACCAGCAGCGACATGTTTCTTTTCTGGCTGGCGCCACTAGCCATTGGCCCATCGCGGCCCCGAGCCTCCGCAATTTTAGGAGTTAGCCATACATTGGCTGCGGCCGTGCACTGCCAATTGAAGTGATTAAAACACTGAGTGGGCATATTCTAAACGCGCATTTCATTAGGAGCAATGCATAGTAACTTTTTGGTCACTAGGGGCAGGGTCCAAGTGGCGCAGCTACCGAAGGCCCTAGGTGAGTTGGTACACCAAAAGAAGAGGATAATTCTGGATTACCTGGTGTCAGTCAGCTCGATGATGATATCTCCAGGTCGTCGCCCTGTACAGCAAAGAAAAGAGAAAAAAAATTGGTGCAGCTACTGAAGTATATGCTTTCTCCTGCTTGTACTTCGTAGTTTTGTAGGCAGGTGGGGGTAGGAGGGTAGACAGTAGCAGGTGGCTGCAGGTTTGGTAGGTGTTCGTCTCTTTGGCCACCTATGTCCTGAATTTGTGGAGCGCCCAGCCCTGGATGCCCATGGGTAGTAGCCCCCACCAGTAGATGGGAGCCTCCGCATCTTCGCAGTAGACCTACAGGTTAGGGATTGCGATGTACAAGCTGCAGGCTAGGATCCCACTACCGAGAGTTTCATTTCGAACGCCAGTACGAGGCCCCAGCAGACCCCAAAAAGAACTGAAGTCACACTCCTAAAATCTGTAGGCCTGCCCTAAGGACATCCATTAAAATTGGAATGATACACAGAAGATTAGCATGGGCCCTGCGCAAGGATGACACGCATAAAATCTGTAGGCTTGGGGCTTCCCGACCACAATGGCTCGCGGCACCAGCTAAAAAAGAAAAAGGGCGCCACTGACAGCTCGGCACTCGGAGGAAGTCTGCCAGGCTTGGATGGTATGGGCGGTTTAAACCATCAGTACACGGCCCCAGCCTTGCTTAAAATGCAACTTGTTGCCTACGGGATTTTCGGAGGCTCGGGCTACCGGACCACAACGGCTGGCGGCACCAGCCAAAAAAATAAAGAAAAGGTGCCACTGGCGGTTCGGAAATGCTTAGCGCCCAATAAGGTGCCTCCAGGCCCGGGTGTATTGGTGGTTTGAATTGAAAAAAAAAAAAAAAAAAAAGAGATTCGATAGGATGTGTTTGATTGTGTGCAACTCCAGTACAGTGTTTGTTTTCCAATGCAATGCTCATTGGCAAGCGTTGTATTCGGATAAGCCATCTAGGTATTGTAATGGCATTTTATTTGGAAAAAATCAACTGAAATGCAGTGCCCATAGGCAAGCGTTCTATTCAGATAAGCCATCTAGTTACTGTAACGGCATTTCATTTGGAAACAATCAGCTGAAATTTAAAATAGGGGACGTTATGTTAGGGCGAAGGAGGTAGTCATGTGTTGTCTTACAGTTGAGTCTACGAGTAGACCATATATTAGATTTGCGCAAAAAGACTCGTAGAATCAATCCAGAAGTTTATTGATATTGATTCTAGTTGAAGTCGATGTGCTAGAATAGTCTTAGCAACCATGGGACTGACATGTATTTTTTCTTTTTATACAAGAAAACAACCCAAGATGATGCTAGGGGTGCTGATAAGAGCAGACACCACTAGCAGTTTCGGGAGGGCTCCATCTATTGGTGGGGAGCAACACCTGTTGGAAAGCGGGACCAGCGTCCCAGATCATTTGTAATCGAATGTTTGAACAGTTGTAAATGTGCAGGCACGCCATGATGGACAGCATTGATTACCATCGAGCGAGGGATTGGCTGCCCATCAAACCCCAGGACCCATACCCTGCCTTATTCAACTACTATACTGATACAGTAACAAGGGGAAAGAACCGGACAAGGTTTGGTTTCTACTTCTGCAATTTTCTACCCAGTGTTGCCAGC